TCCCCGCCCCACACGGCTTGAGCCGGACCCCTGTGTGTCGTCCCCCCCCGGCCGCGGGGCGCCTTGAGCCGGGCCCCTGCCCGCCCGCCACCGCCCTCCTCCTGGCCGTGGGGCGCATTGAGCCGGGCCCTCTCCCCCACCGCCCTCTAGTTTTGTGTTTGGAGCCCAATATTACACCGCTACGCTAATGATAGAATAGTTGAAAGTGAAACTGCGGGGAAAAACAGAAACCAGATTTGTTCGGCTATTCCAGTGATGCCCATTGCGATAGTCAGTAGCAAGTTAATAAAAAGTACAAGTGGGGTAAAGTAAACTTGCTAATTAAGCTATGGTGTCGTTATTAGTAAGGACCGTTAGAAATTACTCTTACCGTGACATCCTAAGAAGGATAACTGCCGTCCCTTTCACCTTTGTTGTAAGGCTAGGTCCCTGTGTGAGTGGCTTAAAGCTAAAATACCTAAAACTTGGGTCAGTAGAGAGCTTGGAATAGTTGGGGTTCATGTTCTTTAGTGCTCCTGCACTGGAGGTGTGTGTGTGTGTGGGGGGGGGGGGTAAGTTTGGGACTGCCGTAGGTTATGTGACCTGGCCCGTGATGAGGGAGTTGAAAGATCCGATTGCAGTTCTTTTGAGAAATTTTGATTTTGAGAAAATCTTTGAGTATCCAAAATTCCTGGTGAGAATTGAGGTTTGTTCTTTGTTTTGTTAAATCCTTTGTGACTTTACAAGTTATCATACATTTTGCAGTTGAACTTTTGTGAGTTAAGTAGCTTGGAAATTTATAATCGCTTTCTCTAGGCAGGCCAGCAGAATTGTTTGTGTGTTGTATTTTCAGGTGGTTTACCTTTAAGTAGTTTCTTTCTTATTCAGAGTCATCTCCATTGTTGGAGGTTTGCAACTGGTAGCCCATTCTGTATGATGCTCCGCTAATCTTTTTGTGGATGTATAATTGTGTTGAGGCATCCAGAATACCACATTGTCTATCCGAGATCCTCTTTTTTTGTTTTCTTCCTCATGTTCTGCCATCAACTTTCCTTTTCAATGTCCATAAACATATATTGCTCACTGAACCTCTTAAAATGTGCCCTGCACATAAAATCTTTTTTTTCCCCCGTAAGATCTCTGATTAGAGTTTTCTGAGTTTTAATAATCACCAGTACTTTTTTTTGTTGGTTACTCAATCTGTCCATGATGTAAGTAGTTTTATCTAAGAATAAAATGGCTGTTAACTATATTGAACATCTCAGGAAGATCTGTCATTCTCATGGTATGAACTTGACCTCTTTTGATCTGTTTCCACTAATACAGTCACAAAATCATTCTTCAGATTACATAGGTTTACTAACTACTTTTGCATATACTAATCAATATACTTAGTCCTGGATTAATCAGCTAGCCATCTGTTAAATCAGATATTAATTCACAGTGTACATTCAACAACATACACCTCTACCCTGATATAATGCTGTCCTTGAGGGCCAAAAAATCTTACCGCGTTATAGGTGAAACTGCGTTATATCGAACTTGTTTTGATCTGCCGGAGCGCGCAGCCCTGCCCCCTGGAGAGCTGTTTTACAGAGTTGTATCCGAATTCGTGTTATATCGGGTCGCGTTATATCGGGGTAGAGGTGTATTGCAAACAGTACCTGATCATTAATTGCAGTGACAGGAGGCAATATTATCACCTCTATATGTTACCTAAGGCTGTATCTACACTGCCACTTTCAGTGCTAAAACTTTAGTCGTTCAGGGGTGTGAAAAAACACTCCCCGCCCCCCCCCCAGCAACAAAAGTTTTAGTGTTGAAAAGCGCCAGTATAGACAGTGCTTTATCCCAGTGATAAAGCTACCACCCCTCATTTGTAACGTGGGCAATGTAGACATACCTTAAATCTGCCTCCGACCAGTCTTGCCTTTCTAGCTGCCTCTCTGATATCTCCACTTAGGTGTCCAGCATTCAGTTCTAACGAAGCTGAATTTGTTTAATCTTGAAACTGTGTCCTCTTTCAGCATTTATAACTCCCCTGCTTTCCTTTTTTCCAGGTTTGCAACTTTGGTGCAATCTTCAGGGATACGGGGAAGGGAGAAAAGAGCCAATCTCTGAAATCCTGTTGCTTTTTCTCCCTAATGTCTCATAAGTAAGGCTGCAAGTTGGTCACAGAAATCACGGATTCCATGAATTTCCATGACCTCCGTGACTTATGTAGTGGCCAGTGCGGCTAGGGCTGGGGCTGCCCAAGCAGCTCAGGCAGCCCCTGGGCTAGTCGCACTAGCTGCTGCTGGGGCAGTCTCAGACCACTGCGCGCCCCAATCCCCGCCCCCCCAGCAGTGGGAGGACTTTGGGGGTGGGAGGGGGCTGAGGGCTGGAGGTTGGGGCGCAGGAGGGGGTGAGGGCTCTGGGCGGTGCTTGCCTTGGGGGGGCTCCCCGTAAGTGGCAATATGTCCCTCCCTCTCAGCTCCTAGCTCTGCGCGCTGCCTCTGCCTGCAGGCATTGCCCATGCAGAGCAGCGGAGCTGGCAGCGTGCGGAGCTAGGAACTTAGGGCGGGGCATGTCGATAGTTACGGGAAGCCCGGTAGGGAGCCTGCCAATCCCAGCCTCCCCAGCACCCATGTCACTCCCAAGATTTAGTAAGGGGTATAGTACAAGTCATAGACAGGCCATGGGCCATGAATTTTTGTTTACTGCCCGTGACCTGTCCATGACTTTTAATAAAAATATGCGTGACTAATATGTAGCCTTACTCATAAGTCTGCTGTTTTTCTCACTATGTTCTCTGTTCAAACTCTAGTTATCTCGTCTCTCTCTCTTTTTTTAAACTGTAGCCTCCTTGCCTGTCACTCCTCTTTGGACAAATCCAGTTTGTCCAAAATGCCACTTCTAAAATGCCCTAACTTAAATTCTTTTCTAGCTTTTAATTTTCTGTTGGACCAAATTTAGATTTATTGTATCTCATTCCAATCTACGCTTTTGTTCTTTAATTTCACTGTTTCTCATGTCCTCCAGTCCCCCCCAGTTCACTTGTAGTACTAATGCATTCGTTTTCTTTCCCCACCACTTTCTTTGTGCCTTCTAGAACATCCATGTCTACATCAGAAATACTCTCCCTGTCCTTTTCTGCTATGCATTCTTCATTAAAACCTACCTCTTAAGGCAACTCCAGATCTTCTTATCTGTCTTAAGTTTCATCACCATAGTACCTAAGCACTTTTCATCAGCTCTGTGAGACAGGAAATATGTTCACTTTTTTGCAAAGCATTGTGCATTTGTGGCACTCCAGTATTTTATAATACTTTTACCACTAGCAATGTGCTTGAATCTGTAGTCTGAAGAAGGCATTTTTAAAAATCACTTTATCCGTTATCTTAATATGAAATTTATTGCATAGGTTATTATGTGATCAGAGTGTAACTATATACAACATAACACTAGAGTTAAATTCAATCCAGATGAGGACAGATAATTCTAGAACAAAGGACCAAAGACTACATCATTCAAGGAATCTGATTTCTGTTCAAATGGTAATGTAAATTCTAAAATAAGATCTTCCATATCATGTCACAGCTGTTAATTTAATATTAATTGTAGTCTCTAACAGTGTATTCTGTCTGTGGTGAACATGGTTGAAACCCATTTCTTCATTGATGGCTATAGACCAGATATCCTAAACTTTCTTTTCGGTTTTTATAATTTTTTCCTTTGCTTTCCCCAGCCTTTTCCTTTTTGTTCCAATGAACTGCGAAGTTGAAATTGTTTAAAAGGATAATTCCACTGTTAAGCAAAATTGTCAGTCTGGTTTATGTAAAGGCTCATCAACTTGATGTTGTAACAGTAATAAATTACAAGTGGGAAGTTGTATGGCTTCTCCACTGCAGTAACTGGCAGATAATTCCTGCTCTTTTTAAAAATTGCAGTTTACCTTAACGTTGAGCTGTGTTGCTGATTTATTGGATACTATGTGCATGGGTATGTTCTACATTAACTTAAAAAAAAAAAGCGGGGTGGGGTGGGACTTCTGTTTTCCTGTTGGTGTTCTTATGGTTGGGCCTGAGAGCAGATCGTGCTCTGGTCCTTTCTCCATTTCTCTCTGGATGCTCTCCTGTATGTTACTTCTTGAATTTGATGTTCATGTTTATGTTGCTGTCATTGGAAAATAACCTTTTGGGAAGGGCATGTACCATCAAACAGTGAAATTCACAAAGTAAACAAACTTATTAAATGGAAAAATACATTTTTCTCTAACTTGCCAGAATGCTACATCCTGTGCTTAGAATAATAATAAATCTTGAAAATGTCTGTTAAAGCATACAGTTATTTCAGTAGAAGAGAACCATCATGCAGCAGGCCTCGCAAAATTTACTTTTTTATATGGGATTATTCAGTTTAATTAAAACTTATAAAAATTAACAATCTTTCTGACTCTTAGCTGTTGCATCAGCATCCCATGCCCACCTATGGGGCTTATCTTGCAAATCTCAAAAGTTGGGTTTAAAACAGTGGTGAACGGAACCCCCGGCTGGCAGTGGGCTGAGCGGGGCTGGCGGCCGGGACCCCGGCTGGCAGAAGCCGGCGGAACCCCAGATCGGCAGCGGGTGAGTCGCTGCTGGTCTGGGGTTCTTTCTGCCACCCTGCTCAGCCCACTGCTGGTCTGGGGTTCCGTCCGCCGGCTCCTGCCTGCCTGGGTCCCGGCCACCGGCCCCACTCAACCCTCTGCCAACCTAGGGTTCTGTTCACCTCTCAGGCAGCGGGCTGAGCTGGGCCGGCGGCCGGAACCCCAGCTGGCAGCAGCGTGCCAGTAAAAATCGTCTCGCGTGCCGCCTTTGGCACATGTGCCGCAGGTTGCTGACCCCTGTGTTAGTACATGAGAAGGTGACAATGTACAGGGAAACCAACCAGTTCTATTTAACCTGTCCACTGCTAGCTTCAAAGTGAGAAAACTGTGCATTAAAAGTGAAGATAAATGGTGGGGAAAATAGATTTTGTTATAATATTTTTAATAACTCATAATGGTGTTAATACCAGGTGAGGAAACATTTTTGGTATTTCTTTAACCTGACAGTGTCCATGATGAGTGTATTTTAGCACACCTAATCTGAGTTTATTAAACATCTTTACTGAGAGTTTAAAATTCGTTTTTTTAATGTGTACCAGTTGATTGGATGGGCCGTCCCTACCCTTGTCCCCACATTTTATTTTAGATTGATTTGTTTCTAGTTTTGTTGTTGTGACCCAGGGGTTCTCCATTGTTCATTCTGAATGCAACTTTGTAAGAGAGAGCATCTCATTATCTGCTTTCCCTCCCAATACTAAAAGCCCCCGCTTCGTGAATTTCAAAACCTTTAATTGTGCAGACTACTACTGCATCTGGGGTCCATACATTATAGTTTGAAACTCCATGCTGTAATGCATTTTGAGTGTTTGATATCATTTTGAAAACTTATATCTGCAAATTCTGTTAATCTAGCTCTCTTCTCTCCTCCCCCCCCCCTTTTTTCTTTCCCTCCGGCAGTCGATTTATTTTGCACATTCCGAGTGAGGAAAGAGACAATGCAATCAGAGTGTGTTTTCAGATTGAACTTGCCCATTGGTTTTACTTGGATTTCTACATGCAGAACACACCAGGATTACCTCAGTGTGGGATAAGAGACTTTGCTAAAGCTGATATCCTTTTTATTGATACAATTACTGTTTTTTCAATGCTTGTGGATAAAATGTATACTGAAGTATAGTAGTGAAATCTTGTTTTCCTGAGTAACTGCTTGCACAACAGTCCCTTTGTTTGTTTGAGTGACATAAAACTGGCTTCATTAGAAAGTCTTTTAATGTTCATAGCTGCCATAATATTACAGCATTAAAAAAAAACACTCAATATCTTTTCCCCAGCTTCCCAAGAGCCCTGAGAATTCAACAGTTTATTGCCTGCTTTGAGGCCGTTTATGACTTCATCCTGTAACAGAGTTAACAGTCAAGACTTCCTTCTGTATTCAGCATGGTCAAGGCCAGGAGGGCCTTAATATAATGTTCTCTCTGTGACATATTCCCTCCCCTAACTTCATGGATTTCCATGGAGAAACTGAAATGGGTGTTAATTCTGCTAGAAGTAGTATAAATTATCTGGCTTTCACATGGCTGGGGATGGTGTGTAACTGTGAGGGGTTGTGCCATTTGCAGTGTGGCTTTTTCAGGATGTGTTTATATAGTAATTCAAATTATTTACATCTTTTTTTTATGGCGGGTTTTAATCATGTTCATGAAGGGTCTTAAACCTGAACACATGGCTTAAGCAACATTATTTTAAATGTGATTAGATCATAAGGTACGGTTTTGTCACTGAGGTTGTGGAAGTCATGGAATCCGTGACTTCAGTCCTTGTGGCTAGGAGCTGAGGCAGCAGGCCCCCAAGCTGAGGCTCCCAGCTACTCCGCAGCTGCCCAGTCCCTTCCCATTTTATCATGGATATTTTTAGTAAAAGTCAGGGACAAGTCATGGGCTTCCATGAGTTTTTCTTTATTGCCCATGACCTCTTCCTGACTTTTACTAAAAATATCCATGACAAAATCTTAGCCTTATTCATAACTTCTTAAGTATGGTTTTTATGATAGTTTGGCTATCAACTGTGGGAACCAATATAGCATGCAGTATTCCAGCTTTTATAATGCTTAAGCATCTTTGTTCCAGCTCCCATTTGAGGACTCATGCTTCACTAAAACAATCAGAATATTTGGTTTACAAAAATAGCTTATTAGAATAGGGTAAGTGTCTTTAATTTTACTTCTGCCGTTTTAAAAATTTTCTCATGGTAAGAACTTGGCTACGTTTAAAAAAAAATCCCATTATTGGGGTACTTTCCTTTGAACAAAGGAAGGCATCTCTAACTTTAAAGAGGAACCATAGTATAAATGGCTTGTATTGGAGTTGGTAAATCACTGTTTGCTCCATGAATCTGCAGAATATAACTCCGTATTGGATTATTTGTTCTACCTTAATTTCTGGTTCCAAGTAAACACATCTAGAAAATAAAACCCTATTCCGTATAGAAAGCAGTACTTGTAAACATTGGTCTTGGATGGGTCTAGGTGTGCAGTTAGTTTCCTTGACATGTTTCTATACTCTTTAGCCATTGCCCTTTTTTACTGCCTCAAGGTGAAGATGTGCAAAGGGTTTTGGATGAGTGGAAGGAGTATAAAATGGGAGTACCAACCTATGGTGCAATTATTCTTGATGAGACACTTGAAAATGTAAGTGTAAAACTAATCTGTGACATTTTATACAAGATGGTGAGGGCTGGGTGGAAAGGATGTTAACTAGTTTTTTAACAATCATAAACATTATCTTTTTACATTTGTATTGAGTTTCTGTACATCGCTGGTTTGCTGGGTGTATCTTTATTACCATTGTACCAAAGGCAGCTGCACATTTTCTTTGTCTTTACACCAAACTTTATTTTTATATATTTTTTAATATAACCCTATACTAAAGTTTGTAATTATTGCTAAATCTAGTAAGCTGTAATGCTAATGAACATATGCTAATACCAGGCAAAAGGTCTCTTCCTCCAACCAAAAGTATCACTTTGGGAATTGAGTCAAATCTATGAGATTAATGGGTATTTCACTACTGCATTGCTTGGTTTCTGCAGGTACTGCTGGTTCAAGGATATCTAGCAAAGTCTGGCTGGGGATTTCCAAAAGGGAAAGTAAATAAAGAAGAGGCTCCACATGACTGTGCAGCTAGAGAGGTGAGTTCCATTGATGAATGTTTAAAAATTCCTTAACCCTACATTTAAATCCTTTTTCTTTAAGACAAAGTAGTTTAACATACGTTCCCTTCACCCATATTGAGAGTAGGATTTTCATGCACACCAAAAATAAATTCTAGCAATCTGGTGGTGTCTTTCTACAGAAAGCTCCTATTAAATTATGTAGTCTTGTTGGCATCTACTGCTGTAGCATTTGGTCCCCTAAATAAGAAAAACGTATGTGAAAGAGAGGCCACGTTTGACCCACGATGGATTGATTTAAATCAGCAAAGTAGGAAACATTGACTTAAATAATCAATTTTGATTGTTTTGCATTTATACATTTTATTATGTTCCTAAAGAGAGGCTGATTTTAATTAGTTGGTAACCATTAAAGCAAGTAAGCATAGCCTTTACATTAAATTTAATGTATCTTTTTGCTAACCAGGATACACATATGTATACACATTTCTTTAAAAGTAAGCAATTAGCTTACTTTACCTTTTTCAGATTCTTAATTTTGAAATTTTTTTATTTTAGAAAATGATGAAAGATGCATTTCTTAATTACTAGTATTTTTTTTTTTTTTTTGGTGATTTTTGTCAAGCTCTATTTGGATGGACATTCAAATTCAGTTTAGTACACACAAACAACATTTTTGCTTGTATTAAATAAAACTACCTTTAAGTGCTGGATACGTAAGGAAAAAAAGTTTATCAAAATGTTTTGTATTTATAATTGATCTATTAAAGTATGATCTCTATTTAATTAATTGAAGTGATTGTTTTTGGTCATCACGTCCTTCAAGATTTTAGAACTCTTAAATAGTTTTTTATTCATAGATTAGAAGAGGAAAACAAGTTTTTGTGCTATTTCAACCCCCTGTTGGTTTCTTAACTTTCAATGAACTAATCATTGAACTGAACTTGTTGAATAAACTGAAATGAAGAAAATATTTTCTTTTCACCGGCAGAAGAGGCTACTGCTGTAAAAAGCGGGTTTAGGGCTTTAACAAACTCTGGTTCCAGATGCTTAGCCAATGACTTCCACCAGTTCAGGAGATTGACTTTCGTTAAAACTTGGCAGCAAATATGTACTGATTAATATTTTTTGCATTTAATTTAAATTATTTTAATAGATTATAGTAAGTTTAGACCTTAACATAGGTTGTCATCATGTCAAATTTTATTTTAAATAGGTTTATTTAACTAAAACCCAGTATTTAACTGAAATTGAAAATCTGATTTTTTTAATTTTTTTAAAATTGATTATCCATCCTGTTTTGACCCAAATGAAATAATGTACTCTTAATATTTTATCACATTTTCATATATTGTTTTAGGTGTGCTGATTTTAAAGCTGAAACAGACTTTAGAGAATGGTTACTCTTGTGTTTTCAATTTTTGTGTTTTTAAAATTTGTATTTGTTTTGGAGTTCTGTCCATTTAAAACTTGTATTTATTGTACTATGCACAGTGGCCTGTGGCTAAGACACTATATTAATAAACTTCCAACTTCACTGCTGCCACTTAAGTTGTTCTGTAATACTGGAACAAGGGGGTACTGTAAGTAAATGGCAGGAAAAGGTTAAGACAGTACTTCAGATAGAGGCTTTTAGGGTTTATAGTCACTATGGAATTTACTGTTGAGGAAAGCTAGGAACATAACGCAGCTGCATGTAAAAAGAGGTTATATTAATTTTATGACTAATAATATTTGTAGTTATGTAAAGATAGGGCTAATAAAGTCTCATGCTGCACTCAAGGAGTTATTGGGAGATGGAATTAGATTACCAAAGGAAGGTTGTAAAAACTAAAAGCACTAGAGGTTTCCTATCTGGATTAAATGAGTATCTAAGGGCTGGTCCACACTAAGCCCCCAGTTCGAACTAAGATACGCAACTTCAGCTATGTGAATAACGTAGCTGAAGTCGAAGTATCTTAGTTCGAACATAAAGGTACTTACCGTGGGTCCACACGCGGCAGGCAGGCTCCCCCGTCAACTCCACCTACTCCTCTCGCGGAGCAGGATTACCGGCGTCGACGGCGAGCACTTCCGGGATCGATTTATCGCTTCTAGACAAGACGCAATAAATCGATCCCAGATCGATTGCTTGCCACCGAACCAGCGGGTAAGTATAGATGTACCCTAAGGATTCATAGCTTTTCTAGGTATACCTGTTGAAAGAATGGGTGAATCATAGGCTTTTCATTTCTAATTTCTGGAGTGTGTCTACCATCTTACTCAGGCTATTTTGGAGGATACCTGAAGCTTCATATAAGGAGGAAAATAAGGTCAGACTATGTCAAGGGATTGTCCGACTTGCACACGGTGCTTGAGTGTAGAGCATGATTCATATAGCAATAGGTACGTCACCAATATTTAAAATACGCAGTCTCTGAAGAGCTTAATTTCTAAATAAAGAAAAGTTGTCTCAATCTCAGCTTTAGCATAGCTGGCACTCCTCTGTTACATTAACTGCTTTGCTGCATGCAGATCCCCAGCACAGGATAACCGTGAAAGCACAGGAATCTCTGAGAGATGTAAAGTGGACCATTCATGTCAGTGGGTGTTCCCATCTTCCTCCTCCTGTATTGAGCAGCCTGTGAGTTTCATCAAGCATGCCCAGTCTTAACTTCTCACCCCAGTGTCGGTAGCTGGTGCGTGGTGCATGCTCCTAGTATGCCTGTTCTCGGCTTCACATGCAGAGGGGCAGAGCTTCCCTTGATGCTTATGGGGGGATTCCCAGGGATTTTATGGGGAGCAGGAAGAAGGGCTCAGATCCCCGCGACGGATAAGCCCCTCGAATCCCACCTCACATGCAGGGGGTAGGGAGATGGGCACAAACACCCCTAGAGGGTGGGGATCCCCCAAACCTGGCTCATGAGAAGGAATACGGGGAACAGACTCCAATAAAGGGGCAGAGGCCCCCTCCAGCTTCAGACACCCCCAGAAGGGGAAGATCCCCATATATCCCAGCTCACATGAGGGACCAGTGAGAAGTGCTCAGAGGTCCACAAGGTGCCAGTGCGTGCACACAGGAGGGGGCTGACAGGAACCATTGCCCCTGTTCTCCCTCAGTTCCCCTGCAACTCACCTCATTTTCCTTTCCAAATGTCCTTACCCTACTTCACCTGAGTCCCTCCCAACCCCTTTCCCCTATTCCCCCACCCCCAATCCCATCTCAGCAACCATTTGCATGTCTAATTTTTGTCCAACAATATTTTGATTAGATTTCTAACCGCCCGCGCGACATACAGATTTTAGCAGTATGCCTTCTGACTTCTTCCATATTTCTGCCTCACATAGGACTTGAGATGACACTAGGTGGGTGGATTTAAAATGAAAGACTTACTGCTTATGCAGGTGCAGTGGAAACTATCCACCTACAAATTCTCTTGTGTCCTCTGTCTGCACATGCCCAGTATAATCCATTTATTTGAAGAGCACTAGGCACACGCCTAACTGAAGAAGCAAATTCTTTGGCAAGTATGATTCTGAATTTTGTTCCCCTGAAGGGCTAGATGGTGCCATACGCTCATGAGGAGTAACCCTCAAGTGAGTGAGACTCTTGTTCCAGGATCAGAGCCATAGTTTGAGCTCCAGGTCTGGGCAAAAAATATGCTAGTAGAATGTGTCATCCTTGAGAAAGAGTTACCCCCTCTCCCCCCAAAACAGCTATCTCAGGAACTCCTTGGTCAAAAAATCCCAAATTTGGATCATTAGCCCTAGCCAACGCTCCCATGAGGCACACCAAATTTCATGGCAATCCAAATAACAGATTTTACAGTACTTGAAAGAGTTGAGTTTTAAACAGAAAGCTGGTCTTGACCTTAACTATAGTAGACCTAGGGGTCCACTGTAATGTCATCTAGACAGACTCTAATCTAAAATAATGTACAGGGAGAGGATAAAAGACAATTATGCTCATAGATATAAAGATGGATAAGGAGAATCACTTTGATCATCATAAAAATGTACATTAATGTTGTAAATCAAGTATGAGATACAGAAAACAAATTTAGATAAGCTGCAAGACCCCCAGCTACACTATAACAGGTGCCATAAAAATGGTGCAAAATCTGTAACTTGGTTGTTTTCTTTGAACTATAAATTACAGAACTCAGGTACTGGTTACAGTGCCAAAAATATGAAGATGGGACATATGTTATACTATTAAGTCCATTCCCATGCAAGAAAAATTTAAAATGAATTCTAACTTACAAAATTAAGACAGGGTCAAGTCCGCTAATAAGCATAGACCATGCTGTAGCTTTGTCAACTGAACTTTTAATAACTACATCTGTCAGGGTATGAAAAACAACACTCCTGACTGATGTATCTAGACCTACCTAATCCCTAGTGTAGACGTCGCTATGTTGATGGGAAAATGCTTCTGTCAATGTAGCTACTTTTCAGGACGGTGGTGCTTTTACACCAATGGAAAATCCCTTCTCTAAGCATAGGCTGCATTTACACTACAGAGTTAGGCCAGCATCACTAAGCTGGTGTAGTATCTGTCATGTAGATGTACCCTAAAGGTGTTTACTCCTGTGGGAATTCTGCACACATGCAGAATGCATGTCTCCTGCAGATTTTGTCACCCATCCCCTGCAGAAAACAGATTCTGCTGGGGAGGTACTGCAGTTACACCTATCGTGTTATTCCCCCTTTCCCCCCCTCCTCCCGTGGGGCTGCTGTGGCACCAGAAGAGAGGACAGTGAGCTCAGGGTCGGAGGGGCCAGTGGCTGCACAGTGCACTGCCCTCGGGGCCAAGTGAGGGCGCACAGACAGAGTGGAACACCTGGGCTGCTGGGGGTGGTAGTGGTGTCACATAGACTGCGGTTCAGAAGGGGTAGTGCTGGGGGGGACAGACAGGTGTGGGTAGAGGAGCTAGTGGGGTGACAGGGTTGAGCCATTGGCTGAATGGGAGGGAGAATACAGGGACAGGGGTGGCAGATGTGCCTGACTGAATGGGAGAGGCTAGGGGTCAGCCAGGATCTGTATGTGGTAGGCTTTCCAGCCCCCCCCCCATCCCCCCAAACAAACACCTGTTCCATACTTCTCCCTCCCATACCCAGCAACCCTTCAGGTTCACTCCCAGGCTCCTTCCCAGCAATTAATTCCCTGTCCCTTAGCTCCTCAATTACCTCTGATTTCCCCCAAGCCTTTGCACTGCTGCTGTGGGGTGTGGGAATTATGTTTCTGTATTGTAGTGTAAATGAATTATTACTCAGTTTTGTATAAATATGCCTAGTAAGGAATCTATTTGTCAAAAAACATAGCCTGAATCTTTTTTTGTTGTCTGTATTGTTAGATATACTTGCTGACAGGTATTTTGAAATAAATTGCCAAACTAATTGAAACTGGCATGATTATATTGTTGTTTTGACAAATAAAATATGCAGAATTTAAAAATACTATATGCAGAATTTTAATTTTTTTTGGCACAGAATTCTACCAGGAGTATATACTAAAGAAGGCTGTTGTAAATGAATTCATTTTGTACTTCTGTATTTTAAAAGCTACTACCACCAGGTGACAAGATTGTGCACTGCTATACAATATTTGACAAGACATTGGGGCAGACTGACAATTGCCTGCAATATACTCAGTGAACTTTGAGTTGAATTAAACCGTATTGAATTAGTTTAAACATCTTTGGAGTTCATTGTATTGAAAATGAAGTTGTGTATGTGTTACTGTGTGATTGTAAGTATTTCCATGGGAAGGGTAAATAGAAGAACAGCAGGGACTGATTAGGCAAATTTACTCGGGTTGTGACACCTCCAGAAAAGTCCCCCCCTTCACCCTCTCCCCAATTTGTGTGCAAATACTAGTTCAAATGGGATTTTTCAGGGACAATAGCATCAAACACTATAATTGTCACTTAACTCTCATTAACTAACAGACCATGCTCACCTAACAACTGACAATTTCCATGGCAAGAAGAGCCCTGTGCCCTGCTACTACAGCCTACACAATGCAACTGAAATAAGGCATACTCCTTACAAATGCACCTCTTTCCTTTGATGGGTTAGGAAGAGAGACTCACTTGCACCCTGAGAGGCCACAGCCCACCAGATCTTCTCATATCCCAATGACGAGTCTTCGAAGCTGCTCGAGTTATTCCTTCATTGTTTAATACACCTAACAGTGAATACAGCTGGAGTGCATGCAGATAATTCTCAGTGGCTATTGACTGCTCCAGGAGGTGCAGAGTTAAGATTATGTAGGAATGTATCTTAACTCTGTTTTTCCTGGTTTTCACAAATTGAGGTATCATGGAACTTGATATTCTGGAGGGGCACAAACTAGAACCAGGCAACCTTGACTCTGGGTTAACAAAGTTTTTTGCCACTTAATCTTCTTGTTTGTTCTTTTGCATGGAGCTGCGTTGAGAGAATTGGCTTGATCCGACAGAAACCTTGGTTTTCATTTCTGTGTTGTGGGTAGAATTGGTTTCACAAACCATCAGTTTAGAACAGGGGTGGGCAAACTCTTTGGCCCAAGGGCCACATCGGGGTTGCGAAACTGTATGGCGGGCTGGGTAGGGAAGGCTGTGCCTCCCCAAACAGCCTGGCCCTCGCCCCCTATCTGCCCCTCCCACTTCCTGCCGCCTGACTACCCCCCTCAAAACCTCTGACCCATCCAACCCCCCTGCTCCTTGTCCCCTGACCGCCCCCTCCTGGGACCCCCTCATCCCTAACTGCCCCCCCGGTACCCTCTTCTATCCACACCCACACCCCCTGACAGGCCGCCCCCGGGACTCTCACGCCTATCAAACCACTCCGTCTTCTGACTGCCCCCGGGAACACCCTGCCCCTTATCCAGCTGCCCCGCTCCTCGTCCCTGACTGCCCTCCGGGACCCTCTGCCCCTTATCCAATCCTGTTCTCTGCTCCCTTACCATGCTGGTCAGAGCAGCAGGAGTTTGCAGCCCTGCTGCCTGGCTGGAGCCAGCCATGCCCCCGTGCTGCCCGGCAGGAGCGGCGGGCCAGAGTGCTGGTGGTGCGGTGAGCTAAGGCTGTGGAGGACGGGGGACAGCAGGGAAGGGGCTAGGGGCTAGCTTCCCCGGCCGGGAGCTCGAAGGCTGGGCAGGACGGTCCTGTGGGCCGAATGTGACTCGTGGGCCGTAGTTTGCCCACCTCTGGTTTAGAACGTCATTCACCAAAACTTGTATATTTTTTTCCCCTAGCTTCTATTCTAACCCAACACTTTCCCTTTGCATAGGAGACAAGTCTGAAGTTAATAGCATCAGGCGAACTGTCACTTTTTTTTTTTTTTTTTTTTTTTTTTATTTAAAGCTCTTGCATTTGTCCCCAGAGACCGTAAAACAAGTTGACTTTCTTTTGGCACTGAAATACACACAAATTTTGTGTTAATCTCCTAGATCTGTCATCCATTTCATGTATTAAATATTAAAGCAGGGGATCTCAAACTGGGGGTCAGGACCCCTTAGGGGGTGACAAGGTTATTACATGGGGAGTCATGAGCTGTCAGCCTCTACCCCAAACCTCACTTTGCCTCCAGCATTTATAATGGTGTTAAATATATAAAAAAGTGTTTTTAATTTATAAAAGGGGTCACATTCAGAGGTTTGCTATGTGAAAGGGGTCACCAATACAAAACTTTAAGAACCACTGTATTAAAGATTATTAGGGCATATAATACTCTTTCCTATTTAAAAGCTTTTTTATGTCAGACCCTCAAACTTTACTCCTCACTGTGAAACAGCTTCCCATGTTTTTTAAATATGGTCTTGCCACATAGGAGGAACTGATAGACCTCAGTTGCATTTTAATTTGCTCCCTTTTCATTAATCTTTGAAAATTTTTCAATGTATATGAAGCAGGGTTGTTGCTTCTAGAAAATCTGTACTCCCAACAGTTTGCCCATAACTACATAGAGACTTAATTTACAGATTTTTACAAATTATTTTTCTTATGTATTTGGCAAAATGAATAATCTAGAGAGCAATGCTTACTCCATAGGGACAAGCTAGACTGTGAAAACCTATTTAATCAAGAAGACCCAGTTTATATGGAGGTGGGCACAGATCTCAATGAAATTTGTCATGCTGAACAGACTTCGCTTCAAACCAGTTTGTTGTATGTGGTGGTGTTGTTCACAGATGTACATGTCCTCATTAAGATTCCTCAGGGCTGCTTTTTTGTAAGGCATTTTCAGTCCAGGGCACTGATCAAAAGCTTCCAGTAATGCTAGTTTTTCAAATGGTGTGTGTGGTGAGAAGGGGAGAAACTGGAGTCCCCTCACCCCATACGTTACTTTGCAAATAATAATAGCCTTAAACGCCAATATTATTATTATCTTATAACTACACGTTCTGCTCGTCTCAGTAATGATACCTGGTAGGAGTATAAATTGTTATACACAGTTTCCTCGATATAACGCGACCCTGATATAACATGAATTCAGATATAACGCGGTAAAGCAGTGCTCCGGGGGCGCGAGGCTGCGCACTCCGGTAGATCAAAGCAAGTTCAATGTAACGCCGTTTCACCTATAACGCGGTAAGATTTTTTGGCTCCCTAGGACAGAGTTATATCGAGGTAGAGGTGTAATATGAAGTGGATGAAATCTTTTTTTTTTTTAATCTACATCTAGTCTTAGTTTGTGTCCATATCTAAGAGGTAGGATCTTTTCCCCCCTCCAATGGTGAAATGTGAAATACTCCAGTAAAATGTTGATCCATAATATACTTTTTTTAGTGTATATAGTGATCCTGTGACAGGCTTAGCACTTTAATTCCTTCTGAGTAACAGGTTGTAATAGTATGTCAGCAGACTGAGTAATTCTGAGTTCCATATCCCCATTATCAGCTTGGATGCCCAGTTTGAATTTAGTAACTTAATCTGTATGTTAGTAAATATATATTAATTTATGGTACTGCTGAATTTTGATACAAGAACTGATGTAAGAATGAATATTTTGTAGGGGGTTCATAGGGCATTATTAGTACTGTAGGATGGGAGAGAACTAAACCAAGTAAGGAGTTTTTTTGTTTTCCTATAACTTTCTGGATGGCTAAACTCTCTTTAGATCCAATATGTTTAACTTTTGTCTGAAGTAAAATACTTTTTCATGTGTCCAGCATCATCAATAAGCAGGCACGCTGTTTCCCTGTATTTTCTTGTTAGCGTGCTCTTTCACATATTATCTAAATTCTTTTCCACTTCACACTCTTGAGCTGCAGTGGACAAAATCTGAATGCACAGAGGTTATGCTCTTTGTACATATGCACAGACACATGATGAAATATATTACAATCACTATCAGAACTAGTAATAAAGAGTTCCCTTCTGATGATTTAGCCTTTCAAAAATCTATTTGAAAGTATGACTTGAACAATTCTAATTTGATCTGTGTGCTTCTCAGGTGTTTGAAGAAACTGGTTTTGATATCAAAGATTACATCTGCAAAGATGACTATATTGAACTACGAATCAATGATCAGCTAGCACGCTTGTACATCATTCCAGGAGTTCCAAAGGACACAAAATTCAACCCCAAAACCAGAAGAGAAATTCGGGTACACATAGTTATATTTATTTCTAAAGATTTTTCAGGCTGCTACTACCTCAGCAAAGGTTGATTTAAAGCTAAATATTAAACAAAAAGTGATGAATGCCCCAAATGGAATAAAAAGCAGCATCACTTTAGGTTTTGTCAACTTTCTGCAGGTCTGATGTGAAGACTGATTGCTGGCCAACTGCTTATTGTGACACCTGGCTCCATCATAAATTGGCACTGGAGTGCAGGCTGACTAACAATAAATCACATCCCACTTTCTCTTCTCCTAAATATTTTTTGTAGTTAACCTTTTTTATGTCTTATACATATTTTTCTGTAAGGATATAAATATTTAAGGATACTGTACGTTAATCTACGCATTGGAAGAGGAAAATGGGGCTTGCCTTATTTCTGTAAGCAGTCTGTACAGTCCAGATCTAGTGTACGATAGGTAGCAGAGAGTAGACTTGGCTGTGGGACACAGTGGGAGCCAACCATTGTGTGGGTGAGCTGAACTCAGTGGACTTCTAGAAAGCTGTTGGGATGGAGAAGAAATTAAAGTGCCTAATGTGCTGAGAAGTGCTTGTCACTGCCTACGACATTCATCACCTTCTGAAACTTGAATTTCTCTCGTCATGCAGATAACATTTAAACTTTAACAGTAATTTTGTTTTAAGACTAGTTTTAACGCCAACATTAGCTATATCTTTTGAATACAAGTGTAATAGGGACAACAGGACATTATTAAACATTCCTCTTCTCCCCCTTAGGTTGATTCCCCAGAGTTGTAAATTACTAGCTCCTTGTCTAAGGACCCTCTTGACTTGGTTCTCAAACCCCTTTCAGGAGTTCTCAAACTTCACGTGGCCCCCTGCAGACAACAAAAATTACTATACAACCCCAGGAGCGGGGACTGCAGCCTGAGCCTGCCCAAGCTCCGGGTTGGGGGGGGGGGGGCAAAGCTGAAGCCCAAAGGCTTCAGCCCCGCCACCCAGGACTGAAGCCAAAGCTGAAGCTCAAGGCCCCAAGTGGGGGGAGGGTGGGCGAAGCCCAAGGGCTTCAGCCCTGGGCAGGGGGTCTGTAACCTGAGCCCTGTCATCCAGGGCTGCAGCCGAAGCCTGAGCCCCACCACCCAGGGCCCCAGCAAGTCTAATGCCAGCCCTGGTGACCTCATTAAAGTGGAGTCGCGACCCACTTTGGGGTCCTGACCCACAGTTTAAGAACCGCTGGTCTAGTTAAAACCTTGATTTCCATTTTTGTGTTCTGGGTAAAGGCCCTTCAGCATGTTGCATGCTCTCTCCTGAGTGCATATCATGTGAGGTGGCGGGGGAGACAGAGACAAGCTTTGAAAGTTATTTGTATCCTCTAATTACCATTGTTCTCTCTAGGACATTCAGTGCACAGTCAAGAACTATGTTGTTGTTGTTGCAGACCTTATAAGTGAACTAACTTTCAATAGCTGAGATATTGTGTACTGCATTCCACATTTTAGGGATTCTGTCATCCAACAGTGTTTATGTATTGTAACAGAGACACAAGGTGGTATAATATCTTTTAATGGCCCACCTTTGTTGGTGTAAGAGACAGGCTTTTCAGTTACACAGAGCTCTTCTTCAGGTCCCTCTCTCATTCTGGGACCAACACAGCTACAACAACACTGCAAACTTGCATTGTACTGTCTGTTACATTGTGGTTGTGGCCAGAAAAGTGATCCTAACATTATTTTAAATAACCTGTATTGGTTAGCAGCTCTGTTATGATTTATTAATTCAGACTCTTGCTGTAGTTATTTGATTTTAAAGAAAATCATTGTGGATGATGTGTATTCGCTTAAGTCCCTTGATGACTTCACTAAAGTAATTACTTTTTTCTGTGTTTCAGAACATTGAATGGTTCTCAATTGACAAATTACCATGCCATAGAAATGACATGACCCCAAAGTCCAAGCTAGGTTTGGCGCCTAACAAGTTTTTCATGGCCATTCCCTTCATCAGGTATGTTCAGGATAAGCCAAAATCTAGCCTCTTGTTTTCAGGATGCTGGATTTTGTTGACAAAACACTAACTTGTTCACAGACCATTGAGAGATTGGCTTTCTCGAAGATATGGGGACTCCTCTGATAGTGACAATGGATTTTCATCCACTGGGAGCACACCATCCAAGCTCAACATGGAGAAAACAAGGTAAGAAATTAGATAATTTTGACATGTCTGTCAACAACATTTTTATAAATCCTTGGCTACACAAAGATGAAGAATGTCCAGTCTTTTTTTCAGAATGGGTTAATATAATAGATTATAAAGAGATCCATAGGACTGTTAGTAGTATGGAGAGGTTAATTAGTGCCCTGATGTACTTGAAACTACTGTATGGAAAATTTTAGAATATGGCAAAACTAAGAGAATGTCCTGAGTTCCTATATGGGACTGTGAAAAGCAAGTGAAGGAGAAACTTTCTATAAAACAGAAATTCTTTATCAGAAAGTAGAACAGGTAGATATACTTTCTAAAATAATCAGTGTAGTGCTGAAAAGAGTGAGAGGTGCCAAAAAAGATGGAACTAAGTCAGGAAGAATCACTAATAGCCATGGTATTTAAAAGTAATTTCAAAGTAATGTCAATTGCAAAGGTTTCAGAGTAGCAGCCGTGTTAGTCTGTATCCGCAAAAAGAACAGGAGTACTTGTGGCACCTTAGAGACTAACAAATTTATTAGAGCATAAGCTTTTGTGGACTACAGCCCACTTCTTCGGATGCATATAGAGTGGAATAAATATTGAGGATATATATATATATACACGCATACAGAGAGCATAAACAGGTGGGAGTTGTCTTACCAACTCTGAGAGGCCAATTAAGTAAGAGGAAAAAAAGTGATAATCAAGATAGCCCAGTGCAGACAGTTTGATAAGAAGTGTGAGAAAGATTCAATGTTTGTAATGGCTCAGCCATTCCCAGTCCTTATTCAATCCTGAGTTGATTGTGTCTAGTTTGCATATCAATTCCAGCTCCGCAGTCTCTCGTTGGAGTCTGTTTTTGAAGTTTTTCTGTTGTAATATAGCCACCCGCAGGTCTGTCATTGAATGACTAGACAGGTTAAAGTGTTCTCCCACTGGTTTTTGAGTATTATGATTCCTGATGTCCGATTTGTGTCCATTAATTCTTTTGCGTAGAGACTGTCCGGTTTTGGCCTCTCAGAGTTGAAGAAGTGGGCTGTAGTCCACGAAAGCTTATGCTCTAATAAATTTGTTAGTCTCTAAGGTGCCACAAGTACTCCTGTTCTTTTTGTCAATTGCAAAGAAAGTTGGATAAAACCAATGTTGTTATGGTGATTTGGGGGCGATTGAAAAAATGATCTTGTAACATGTTAAATCACAGGGAGGTCTTAAATGAAAATGGGCAATTTTGTCATAGGGTTTCCTAACAGTCATGTGACTGAGCAACTTCTCAAACCAGTTCAGGTTGACAAAGGGAGGTTCCCCATCAGCAATCTGGGTCAGTTCAGCACCAACATCGGTGTCATAAATAAAGTATCAAAGTGTACAATCTTGGTATCCACACAGCACTACAGGTGACAGGATTCTAGAATAAGAAAACTTTTTCTTCTTCGAGTGATTGCTCATGTGTATTCCACAATAGGTGTGTGTGCTCGCCACGTGCACCAGTGCCGGAAGTTTTTCCCCTAGCAGTACCTATAGGGGAGTGCCCCAGCGACCCCAGGAGTGGTGCCTCCATGGGGCAGTATATGGGGTGCTGTGCGCTCCCCCCACCCTCAGTTCCTTCTTGCCGCCAGTGAAGGTGCTTCGGAACTGCTCTGCTCCAGCTTTGCTGTAGCTCGTCCCCAAAACTGCTTGTTCATTCAGTGTATGGTACCTGTAGTTAGGTTAGTTTAGTTTAGATCTCCTGGGCTGGGGCATGCCCGGGGTTTTAAGCTGTGTGACACTTGTAGGCGATCTAAGCCACTGAGTGATCTGCACGCGGAATGTCTGTGCTGTTTGGGGGAAACACATCTCAGCGATCACAGCAATATTTGCAACCCGTTTAAGCTTAGGACCAAGAAGGAAAGGGAGATTAGGCTCCAGGCTATTCTGATGGAGTCGGCGCTGACCCTGGCTCCAGCGTGCCACTCCGAGTCAGCACCGGGCACCGTGGTGTCGCTGCATGGCGACCTTTGGCACCATCGACTAGTTGGCACCGCTCCCTGTCCATGGGGCATGCCAAGAAGGCTAGAAAGAGGCCTTCTTTACCGTGGCACCAGAGTAAACCCGGGACAGAGGCTAGATCCATGTTGGGCAGTCCTCGATCCCCACAAGCCACTAGACCTCCGACTCAAGTTGAGCGGAGTAGCCTGGCCCTTTCGGAGCAGGCCTCCCCGGATGTCTGGACACCCTCCACGCCGGAGGCCCTGCAGGTGGCCCGGGATGTTATGTCCATGCCGGTATCAGGAGCACCGCCGATGTCAGCCCTGTGCTCCAGAGGCAAACCACTGCTGGGATCTCAGCAGTTGCCCCCAGCTCGGTACCAGTCTCGGTCAAGGGAACGTTCCCAACGCCGTTCGCCACCCAGTGATCATTCAGGCCGAAGTCCACATGGATCGCCCTTGATGCCCACCAGGCTGTCTGTTTGGGTTCTGTCTGACCGAGACTCTCGGCACTGCTCCGCCTCGAGGAGCGAACACTGACGGGACCGAGGCAGACGTCGCCAGAGGCCTTGTCTCAGAGGGGTTATCGTAGCCGATCTCGGCACGGACATCGATTTCGTTCCCTTCGGCGTCCTGCTCTAGGACCCCGCCATGGCACCACCTCTGTAGGTCCGATCACCGGAGCCAATCGCGGTGTAGCTGTTACCGACGGTACTGGTCCTCCATGTTGGGATCGTGGTCCCATGGTTGGCACTGCTCCCAGCGCTGCCGCTCCTTCCGGCCAGGGACAGCAGCAGGTCATACGTCAGCCCAGCCTCCCTTCGTAGTTGTCCATTGATGAGCCAGGCCGAACAGCTGGCCCTGCTGGTGCCTCAGTAGGTGCAGTGGCACCAGGCCCCGTGGCCGGCCTAATGGTACCAGTGGGCACCGTGGCCTCCAACACAGCCCCCGGTGAGGGCTTGCTCGGTGGCCGGAGCCTCAGAAGGACCATCGGCCTCCCTCTCCAGACCTCCAAGGAAGGAGTCGGTGGGACGTACATCCTTGGCACCATGCCTGGTGACCAACCAGGTGATGGACCCTCTGGTGCTGGTGGACACCCAAAGTACCGCGCCGGCCTCCTTGCCCTCCCCGGATGAGGCAATTACGGCCCTGCCCCCCTCCGTTGCTCAGAAGGACTTTAGGGCCCACCAAGAACTCTTAAAAAGGGTGGCATCAAGCCTCCTCCATCTCCTCTGCTTGGAGGTGGAGCCCTTGGACTCCCTGTTTAATGTGCTGTCCTCCTCGGCACTGGGCAGGGTGGCCTTCCCTCTCCATGAAGGGGTGGCAAAAATTTCAAATGCCCTGTGGCAAACACTGGCCTCATTGGCTCCCATCTCTAAGAGCGCGGAACGCAAGTACTTTGTACCCACCAAGGGGCATGAATACTTTTACACCCACTCTGCTCCTAACTCCCTGGTGGTCGAGTCGGTCAACCACAGGGAGCAGCAGGGCCAGCCAGCCCCTACCCAAAAAATAAAGATTCAAGGAGGCTGGACTCTTTTGGAAGGAAAATTTATTTGTCCTCGAGCTTCCAGTTACGAGTGGTGAACCACCAGGCTCTCCTGGGCCGGTATGAGTTCAATCTGTGGGGCTCCCTGCCCAAGTTCGAGGACTCCCTCCAGGAGCGCGACAGGAAGGAGTTCAAAGCGCTGGTGGAGGAGGGTACTGTGGCTACCAAGGCAACCCTGCAGGCAGCTTCGGATGCAGTGGACACAGCTGCACGGTCCATGGCCTCAGTGGTGTTCATGAGAAAGGTGTCCTGGCTCTTGCTCTCTGGGCTGTCCAGCATGGCACAGACCTCCCTGCAGGATCTTCCGTTTGACAGTAAAGCTCTGTTTGCAGAACAAACGGATACAAAACTGCATGGCCTGAAAGACGCCCGCATGACTCTCCAGACTCTGGGTCTCTATGTTCTGGCTCCGGCTAAACCTAAGTTCAAGTCGCAGTAGACTCCCGCTCAGGCCACCCACCCAAAATATGAGACTGCTTATAAGAAGTCAGGGGTCTATAAGAGCTGTCCACAAAGGCAGTCTCACACTGCTCCCCAGCCTGAATCCTCAAAGGGGAAACAGGTGGGGAAAAGGTGGTTTTGACAGGACGCCTGGGGGCGCCCTGCCAGTTCCCATCTCCCAGGGCTACACCCTCCTGTTTACTTCCTCCCCGCCCAACCACTCCCTGCCCCCATCCCTCCTGGGGGACCCCTTGCATGAGGGTATTCACGAAATGTATGTTGGTGGTGGTGGCCCGGGGTCCAGATCTTCCCCTATCTGGCCGACTGGTTGGTCCAGGGCAGCTCCCAGTCGCAGGTGCGGGATCACGTGGCGCTCCTTCTGTCCATGTGCACCACTTTGGGCCTGTTGGTAAACAACATAAGTCCACGTTAGTCCCAGTTCAATGCATAGAGTTTATTGGGGCAGTCCTGGATGCCTTGTCAGCCAAAGCCTCCGTCCCACCGGACAGGTTCGAAACCCTGAAGGGGCTCATTGACACGGTCACAAGGTTTCCAGTGACAACAGCCAGAGCGTACCTCTAGCTCTTGGGTCATATGTCAGTGTGCACGTATGTGGTCTGTCACGCCAGACTCAGGATGAGGCCCCTCCAGCTCTGGTTGGCCTCGGAGTTCTCCCAGGCCAGGGATAGGCTGGACAAAGTCCTCACGGTACCCGAACCAGTGATCACCTCCCTATGGTGGTTGTTCCTCCCCGAGAAACATGCTCCAAGGGGTCCCGTTCAGGGGCAGGGCCCCGTCACTGGAGCTGGTGTCCGACGCGTCGGACCTGGGATGGGGGGGGCCCATGTGAGGAATGTTCAGACCCAAGATCTGCGGTCGGCTCAGGATCTGACCCTCCATGTAAACGTCAAGGAGCTCAGGGCCGTACGGCTGGTGTGCATGGCCTTCCGCTCACACCTGGAAGGCCAGGTGGTCAGGGTCCTCACGGACAACACGTCCTCGATATTCTACATCAACAGGCAAGGCAAAGCCCGATTCTCTGCTGCGAAGCCCTC